ACCTGGGGCGGGTCATGCTCTCTGCCTCGGTTTCTCCATCTGTGACAGGAGAGGCCTTGTGCTCCTCAGTAAGAGCTCGGGGGGAATAAACGTGATGGGAGGTAAGACAGCCTTTGGGGACAAACACTCCCAATCCCTTAATTGCAGGGAATATTATAAGCCCAGGGACTGGCGAGCCTGTTCAGAGATTCAGCTAGACCTCTGCTGCCATAGGGGGCCAGTGGGTGGCTCGAGGGGGTTGGCTGGTGGGCCCCACAGCGGTCGGTCCCAGTCCTGACCCCTGGAAGCTGTCAATGTGACCTTTTCGGCAAAGGGGACCTTTGCAGAAGGCAGTGAAGGCTCTGGAGATGACAGCACCTGGATGAATAGGGTGAGCCCTCCATCCACCAACAAGGGTGTCTTGGGAGGAGCCCCGGGGAAGAGACCCAGAGAGGGGGCCAGGAGAAGGCAGAGGCACAGGCTGGGGCGACGGGTCCGCAGGAAGGGGTGCCAAGGACACCAGCAGCCAGGGGACAGTTTACGCCGAAACCTTGCGGAAGGAACCACCCCTGCCCACACCCTGATTCAGACTTCTGACCCTGGGGCTTGCTGCTTATTCTCTCAGCCACCAAGTGCGTGGTAGTGTGTTCCAGCAGGCGTGCCCCCGGCTGTGAAACGGCACCTCTGGGTGATGCTCTCCCCATCGCCTTTAGACACATCCCATCCAGCCGGAAGTGGGAGAACAGGGAAGAGAAAGCCAGCATAGCCCAAGCTCCTAACAGCCTTCAGAGACCACAGGAGATTATCTCACTTAGTGGGAGAACTTGCAACCATCCTCTGCTTTGTAAAATCTCACAGAGACTGCATGAGTTTATCTCACTTAACGTGAGAACATGCAACCAGGATCCCTGGAGGAACCTCAGTGGGAATCCATGTGGTTTTTGGTCCAGGAGCGAGATGACACGTTCAGGACCAAGTCGCGGCAGTTTGGAGGGAAGCCTGTGGCAGTGGTGTGGCAGTGACCTTCCAGCCACGGCTGCCGTGGAGGTGAAGTGCCCAGCAGAAGCAGGCCACCAGGGCGCTGGCCGCCGAATGCAGGGTGCAGTCCTGTACTAGAAGGCAGAGTTCTGGAGTCGCCCCCAGAGCCCTGCCGTGCTGGCCCTGCTTTAGGGAGGCAGCCAGGGCCGCGAGGCTTCTGCTGTTGCTCAGGCCGCAGGCCCTCCTCCAAAGGGAAACGTCCAGCAGCGTGGGGGTCCGGTAGGGCCTGATGTCTCTGACGAGGTTGTATCGAGGCCCAGGACCATCGCCCAGGCCACAGGGGGGAGGCTCTGTTGCCCCCAGTCTCGCCTGGGTGCTGGCTGTGATGCCCACTGACAGTTCCCAGTCCCAGGGAGTAGGCCATGGGGCTGCAGGACATTTTCTGTTTGTTCACAAAGACTGTATTGTCAAACCTAGCTGGGAACCCCAGGCCCTTAGCTGGACCAGCCCCCCATGTCCTCCTGCACCCATTGCCAACTGTGACCTCGAGGCCTGGGCACCTGGCCCCAGGTCCCGAGATCTCCTGGAGGAACCCTCGCAGGCCAGTCTTCACTCCTTGCCCTTAGCTCTCAACCTACCCAAGGAAGTCCTGGCAATCATCAGATTGGGAGGGAGCCGGTGCAACAGGAACCAGCACATATGGAGAGAGAGGAGCGGCTTCGGCGGCTGCCCACTGCCTCCGAACTGCAGAAACTCGGCCTCTCGCCCTGCACCTGTGGATTCGGTCTGATTCCACTTGGTAGGCAGGGGCGAGGCCATCCAGATCTGATTGTGAATTTCCCACGCGGTGGGTCACGCTCATTAGGGGCGCAGAGAGGAATTGCAGATGCAGGACAGGACACGTTCTGTCTGCCCAGGGCTGGAGTTTCTTGGCGAGGTCTAGAGTGATGACGACTACATCAGAAGAAATGTCCCAGGACCCTCCTTCCTGGGAGGTCGGCTTCCTGCGAGCACAGCAAGGTTTGTGCCTGGGGGCCCGCGTGGAGTCAGCGGCACAGAGGGCGGAGCAGCGTCCAGCCTCTGGGCCTTGCCCACACCACTTGGGTTGGCCGTGCTCTTTCAGAGCAGAAGAGCTTGTGTGTCTCTCTCACGCCTCACCTTTGAGGCAGCCCATTGCCTGGATGCAGAGACTGAGGCTCCCGACCTGTTCAGGCTGCCCTGCTTTGCACAGAGCTGGGCTGCAACACAGGCAGCCCGGCCTCCGGAGAGAGGGCACACACAGAGGACCTGTGTTGCTACAGGTGTGTGTGCAGGGGCAGCCCTGCCCTGTGCAGGGGGCTGGCAGGCGGGGGGTGGAGTGAGCCCCCGGGAGGGCTTGGCGTGTGCACAGTCAGGGTGCCTGTGTGACGGCACATGCAGGGGCCCGCACCCGGCCCCTCCTCCCCAGGTGGTAGGGCTGGGGGCCGCTCTCCCTCCGAAGCATCGGCAGGGGAGCCAAGCCGCAGCCTGGGCTGCGGGGTTTGATCTTCCCTCTGCCGCCGGAGATGAGAGAGGTGTAAGTGGTAGAGATTTACGGGGCCTGAGGGAGAAACACCCTTGCAGTGAGAGGCTCACATGAAAGCGCCAGCGTAATAGCGAAGGCTGCGGAGTGTGCCAATTATGCAACAATTAACAGGTTAGACTATCGTGGGCTCTTTCTCCCTTTCTTCTCCCGGCCACTCCTCCCCCTCCACAGCTGGTTTCCGCCGCAGGCTCCCCAGCAAACGCTCTGGGGACGAGAGGATCAAGAACATGCTTTCTCCCCCTTTTAATCGGAGATCAAAAGTTGGAAGAAGGACTTCGCCCTCGAGGGTGGAGAAGAAAGGGGTGCTGTTGAAATGGAGGCCTGCACAGGAGGCGGCGGGGAGGGGAAAGGAGCCTGAGCTCGCCGGGCTCTGTGAGGACTTCACACCTGTCCCCTCCCCTAATCCACGTGGCGGCCGGGGAGCCCAGCACTGTCTGCAGTGCTGTGCTGCAGATCAGAACACCGAGACTCGAGACACAGGGACCCAAGGCCAGCCAGCAGACAGGACTGCACCCCAGGCACTCTGATGCCAAGGGCTTTGCCACCAAGCCATTCTGCCTCAACAGTGGGACGTGGGGGGGGCATTTCCTAGTCTCTGAGCCTTGGCTTACCCATCTGTAAAATGGGTACAAGCCCTGGGCTTTGGGTGATGGAGCCAAGCCCCCCCCCTCCCCGAAATGAAAGGTACAGCGGGTGCTCAGCGGCTGGACTGCTCTGTAAGTCAGCCAGCACCAGCTGAGCCAAATGCCCTGTGCAGCATCCAGCGGCTAATTGAGAAAGAATTAGGCAGCGCGCCCCAGAAGTGAAGAAACAGCTGCTCGCCGGCTTTTGAGAGGTGCCAACCCACACCCGGCGTCCGCACCCCCTCCCCACCTGATTTCCCAGCAGAGTAACAGCCCCCACTCCGGGTCTGCTGGCCTGGACACCCGCCACCTGCCCTGCTGGGGCACGCACTGCCCCGAAGCTCATGTCGCCTGGGGGTGGGGGGAGAAGGCTGCCATGGGTCCTAAGCTTTCCCTTCAGCACATGCTGGGCTCACACAGGGCACCAGCCTGGGAGGGCTTCATGTCTGTGTTCGTGGTAACACCCCCTGGATCTGCCCTGTCCCTACCTGGGGAGCAACTCTGGCAGTCCACGCCACCTCCCTGGACAGAGAGCTGTCACAGGCAGCTGCCTGTGACAGCTACAGTGAGGGGTGCAGGGCCCAGGTCACACACAGTGGCTGCAGAGGTTCCAGCCTCCCTGAGTCCAGGCTGGCGCACGTTGCCCCACACCCCACTCCTCTGCACTCACTCAGCTGCAGGGCCCAGAGGGTGGCACAGCAGGGCCTGGCTCTGCCATTCCTCCTGCTTCAGGGTGAACCCACACAAACAGCCATGCCCCTGCATCTCCCACAAACCAGGAGGGAGGGCCTCTGGTCTCAGCGGCCCCACTCCCCACACCACCACAACTCCCTCCCGGGATAGACTTTGCCAAATGGTTCCCCGCGCCGGGCTCCCAGGCCACAGCTCGTCTCTGGCGTTTGCCTCTGCTGCTCTGGATGTTTGAAAAGCCTTCCCTTCAGCAGCCAGGCTCTGCGACACGGGGAGGTGGGCATGGGAAGTGCCTACGCATGAGAGGGAGCTGGGGTGCCGAGAGGAACCACGAGCATCCATCCCTCTGACTCCATGAGCTGCGCCTGGCCTCAGCGGCTCAGGCTTCATGAGCTGGACTCTTTCTCTCCCCAACACCCCCACCCCACCCTCACCAGGTGGCCGTGCAGCCTGCCGTCTCATGGGAGCGAAGGGACCCCAGCTGGTGAGGCCAGCCGCGTTTACAGAACCTGGCCAGCTGTTTGCTCATCGGGGGCTGCCCAGCCACTTGGCTGCAGGGCTGGCAGAGCTCCGCGGCCATGGCTGGGTGCATTCTGGTGCAGTCTGACCTTAGCCGGATTCCAGGATGATGATGTGTGAATAATACGGCGTTTTAAGAGTCAACAGCTTGGGCGCTATTTATAGCTGGGCTGGAGTGCTGAATGGGCCATCTCCCCATTAATCATTAGCTACTTAGATGCGTTGGCAACCAGCGCCGGCATCAGTCCACAGTATCAGCCTCCCTCTGTCAGCAGCCACCCTTAAAGATGTCAAAACTGCCATGGAGTCAGCCCAGCCCCACACGGCGCCTTCCAGGTCCAGGCTTCATAGCCTGATTCCTCCAGCATCCCCTCGCCCTTCCCCGGCCTGTCTGAAACTGTCACCACTTTGGTGGGCTCTGCTGGCAGGGGTCCTGGGTGCCCACTCCTTGGGACGCCCTCAACTGCCAGAGGGCGCACTTGGCCCACCTGAAGGAGGAAGGTGCATTCCAGAGACAGTGTCAGGGCAGGGCCTGTTGGGGACAAGCCTGGGGCCAAGTCCCAGCACCCCTGTCCAGCTAGCCCTTCCCTCTGCCCGTGCCCCCACCCGGGGCTCCAGAGCGTGACCACGACGGCACCAGCACTCACAGAGTCTCCAGATTGTGCAGCCCCTCGAAGCTGTGGGTCCCCAGATGCTGGATGCGGTTGTTGTGCAGGTGCCTGTGTGGGAGGGAAAGACGCGTCACACTGGGCGCCCACAGCACCGGGGCCCCAGGGAGGCAGAGCACAGGGCGGCAGGGCAGGGAAGTGGAGGCAGAGGTGTGGACAGAATGACCGACTGCTGAAGCTGCAGTTGCCAGAGCTGGATTGACCCAAAGCTGTGCCACTTGGCTGTCCTATGGAAGGAAGGGGAGAGGAGAGCCAGGGGCTAGGGCTAGCGCAAGATCTGCAGCACGTAGGAGAGAGGCCCGAGGTCAGAGGGACTCCTGTCTGAGGCTTCTCCTAGGACCCAGCCTGCCTGACTCAGTAGCCAGACATACTTACGGGAGCCAAGAGCAAACCGCTCCAGACAACATACAATTAGAGGCTGGGCTTTCTGTTACAATCGGAGAGAGCTGCAGGCAAACTCAGGGAACAGGGAGACTGGTGAGGCTTCACAGGGGTGGTGGTCCCCAGCAGGGTCTGGAAGGACGGGCGAACTGAACGAGCATCGGGAAGGGCGCGCCGGGCACAGGTAACTGTGCTGGCGGGGGGCGGGGGGCGGGGGCTGGTGTGTCTGTGGAGGGCTTGGCCAAGCAGGGATGGGTTGGGGAGAGGAGGAGGTCAGCTTGAGGTCAGCTTGGGAGAGATTTTCAAGACAGACAGGTGCAAAGAAGGGACAGAATTTCCTTCTCTCTGTGCCTGCTGAGCCAACATAGCAAAAACCGGACCCTCACGCCCAGCCCAGACATCACAAGAAGCAGAGCACGGGGCCCAGGGGCATGGAGCTCCTCCTCAGGCCCCTCCTCCAGAAACTGACAGGCGAGAATCCTCCTGAAACCCCCGAAATCTGAAGTGGTTTGGGTCTCATCCTTTTCCCTCCCTGCTAACAGCTTCCCAGAAGAACAGGGGAGAGGGAGGGTGAACTCCTCACTGAGAGATGCTCAAAGGCACCCATGGGTGGACGTGCACTCACACACTGCACACGGCTGGGGCAGAGAGAGAGACTGGGAGGGCTGACTGGGCCCCGCCTCAGAGCACCCGCCCCGGCCTTCACCATCCCCTCAAGTATAGAAAAGCCGTGGGGCCTGACTGACCCACGGGGCTTTGTCCACAAACCGTGGCTGCGGGGAGAATGACCAGGGCCCAGAGAGATGCAGCCCAGAGCGCACGGAAGCTCACCAAGCACAAGCCTGAAAGGAGAAAATCACAGGGCAACTGGGGAGACACACAACCTGCAGCCAAGGCAGAGTGGGGAGGACACAAAAGGCCAGCCGAGCCCACGCCCCAGAGCAAACAGATTGAGGGGGGAACAGAAAGCACTGGGTCACAATTACCTCCCACTGCAGGACAGCCCTGAGAACAAGCTGCCCAAGGAAAAATGTTTAAGTGAAAGGAAAACATGGTAGGTTAAGGAAATATATTGAGTCCACAACTACAGTACGTTAATAATTATCAATACATTTGAAACAGAAAAACTGCAGACACTGTGGATGGGATTGGTGTCAGAGAGGACGCCTCTGACGAGGATGGCGAACACAGCAGAATAGACCAAAGGGATCAAAACCATCAGAAACTCATCAGCGTGGAAGACACAGAGGTGATTCAACACACGGCGACTGACGTCTCCGAGAGACAGAATCCAAAAACGAGGTTGGAGGAGTACTCAAAGACACGATCCAGAGAAATTCTCTAAGACGAAGAAAGGACAGCATCCAAGGCTCAAAGCATGCATGTTTTTAGGAAAACTGGACGCAGAATATTCTATGCCATTAAAGTTCAAGAATTTGAAAACATCTTCAGGAGTGGGAGTAGGGGGGAAGGTCAGGCCTGCAAGACACCGGCCGGACCTAAAGGCAACATCAGGCAGGCCTCAGGCAACCCAGGAGGAGGGGCCGGGAGTCCTGCGGTCCTGGGGTGGAGAGCTCTCACCAGCCTTCCCCGCCCTGCCCCAGCTGCCCCATCAGACTCCAGCAGGGGACGCACAGCCTCAGCCTCCTGTGTCCTCTCCCCAAGCGGCTCTCGCTGCCCCGTCCCCGTCCCCTTCACGCCAGCGCCCCAGCTGTCAGCACCCAGCAGCCTGTGCTCCGTGGGCGCCCGTGCCTCCGTTCTCGCCTCCCGTCAGGCCCAGTGCTCCTGCTCTGCCTCCCGGGCCTCCCTGCAGCTCATCCCGTGGCCACCACACAGCTCCCCAGCTTCCTCTCCCTTTCCCAGGTCGTGTTTTGCTAGAAGCTGCTCTCCTCCCTCACGAGCTGGAGGCAGGAAAGGGACAGAGGGGCGATGTTTCCGGCCTCTCCCCGCACCCAGGAAGCAGGTGGCTGCGGCTTGCTGTCCTGGCCTCACGCTCAGGGCCCCCATTGTTTCTCCATCTATAGCACGCCTGACTTTCAGGCCAATTCCCTGGCTGGCTCCCAACCACACCTTGAAGTCATCCATGACTCCCTTTCTTCCTGGTCTTTCATCCTCTGAAAACCTCCAGCTCGCATCAATCCTTTCTTCAAAACACCCCTCGCGGTCACGCCTGCCGCCACCTCCCTGGACTGGCTGCTGATTGACACACAAAAGCCTCCAAGCTCCCCCGTTCCCGTCCGTCCTGCAAACTCACCTTCCAAAGACACCCTCATTTAGGGCTTCAAAAAACCTTCAGATCCCCTCCCCCACTGGCCAATAACAGCCAAACTCCTTGGGCTCCCGCTGCGAGTTCCCAAACTCCCCTGCCAGCTTCTGGGCCATGCCTGCTCCAGCCCAGCCACCCAGCCACACGCAGCCCACACCACGGGCTCTGCCCCCACCTTCCCTGACCCCTGCTCGGAATGCTTCCCGGCCCCTGCTCCTCTCACTCTGCCACCATTCAGGCCCGGAGCCCACCTCCTCCACACAGCCTCCCTCTGTCACCTACGCTCGCCCCGCTGCACACCACCCCACGCTGCAGGCACTGTGCGTCCTATGCTCTGGGCTCCGCTGCACCGTGCCTTATCTTCCCCATGTGAATCTGGCTATGGCAGCTGGACTGGAAGCTCCTGGTAGCAGCAGCTGTAGCCCACCCTCCCTGCACTCTGCAGTGCCTGCAGCTGCACCGGGGGGCTGGACCCCACTGTGAAGTTCTCGTTTGTCCAGGGGTCATGTCCTTCACAGCACCTGGCCTTGTCCCTTCCTGATGTCACAGGGCTACCTCCACAGCAGGAAGCAGCCTGCTGTAAATTCCCACTGACTCCCAGGAGGGAGGGTGTGGCCAGCCGTGCAGCCCAGCGTGGCCCTCAGGACATCCATCGTGGGTCTCTACTCTCCCGGGACAGAATTAGACACACTGGTGGCTGTCTTGTCACCCCTCAGGAGGAACTAAGCTGCAAGGGTGGGGGAGGCGCTGTTGCCACTGACAGAGTCACCACCACAGGTGTTCCTGCAATTAGTGTGTAACCCAAAGCCATCACACGTGACCTCCAAGCCCTTGCTAATTACCCTCTGAACTTACCAATCATTCAGAGCAATTAGCTGCGAGCTAATTTGCACTCTGAAGTGCCCAGTAGGAAGGCAGAGTTAGCCCCAGTCTCCAATTCCTGCCAGGGATGCTATCTCCCCAGTAATTTCGCTGACGGGGCTCTGCTGTCTCATTACTAGGGATAGCTCCTCGGGCCTAGGAAATAATAGGGATTTATCCTGCCCCTGTGCCGACCCATATGACTGCACCACATAACGTAAAACTGATTTAGGCCACTCTGGGCTGACCTTCCAGTTCACATGGAGTAGTTAGCATATTGGCACAATGAGAAAATAATAGCCCAATTCCTGTCTTCTAATTACAGTACCCTGGCTTTTTAGTGAACCTCGAGAGTATTTTTGGAGGTCTCACATCATTGTGCCTCAGGATAACCCCACACCATCCACAGGGGATGGTCATCCTCCTTCTTTTACAAAGGGGAAACTGAGACCAGAAGGTTTGGCAACATGCACAGAAGAGCAAAGCCAGCCAGGCTTCCAAGCCACTCGAGCAAACATGCAGCCCCGGCCCCAAAAGGACCCAGCTGGGGCCGGGGGCCCAGGCAGCACTCACAGCACCACAAGGCTGGTGAGGTTCTGGAAGGCGTAGTCGGGGATGTGGCTGATGCGGTTGAGGGCCAGGGTCATGGCCTGCAGGGCAGGAAGGTTGTTGAGGGCCCTGACAGGGATCTCGGTGAGTGCATTGTCGTCCAGCCAGAGGTGGCGGAGGGAGGACAGCCCCTCAAAGCTCCTCTCCGGGACCACAGAGATGAGGTTGGCATCTAGGCGCCTGGGGGAAGAGAGGAGGGAGAGGGTCAATCCAGGGCAGGATGAAGGCCAGGCTCTGGGGCTGGGCAGGGCCAGCCAGGCCCCCAGTGGAGCTGCTGGGCATGGCTGGAACTAGAGCTGTGACTTGGGCCCTGCTTACCCTGTGTTCTACCCCTCAGGATCCCTCCATTCCAACCTGCAGTGCTTGATGCTCTGTGCCATGCATTTCTGTTCGGGACTCCGGTGCTTCCTCCCAGACCCAGGGCTGAGCCCACCGGTCATTTGCAAACACCCAGTACTCTCCCCCTCCCACCCATAACCCCAGGCTTCCAAATCTATTTCTGTTCTGAGTACGATGTCATTCTTGCCAACCCTACCCACCAGAAGGCCTCACACGGAGATGTTCCCAGCATTGGCAGAAGGAAATCTCCTCCCTCCGGACCTAACCAAAGAAAGGAACCTCCCCAAACAGGTAAGCCGCCCCCTGTCACCTGCCCCTAGCAGCTCCTGTTCCTCGTCCCCATGAGGAACCAGCCATTTGGTCCTGGGGCTTCTTGCTCGGTTGATGACCCACGTGGAGTCCCATGGTGGGAGCGATTGATTTGCTACTTCTCCACACAGGTGTGAGGTCTAGAAGACCTTGGCAGCCCAGCAAAACAAGGCGCCTGCCCATCTTCGCTTTCAGAGGTGCCCAGGCCATGATCTCCTTGGCTGCTCTGCTGCTGTGTCTGCCTGCCGGCCTGCAACCCATCATCCTTCCCAGCAGGCCTCTTGGG